TCCTTCGCCTCTATGTGTAAAGTTGTGAAGTCGTTGGATGTCCGTATCTTCCGCACTTCCCGACTTTACACATAATACAGAGTAATTAGTTGATGAATAGTTATTCGATAGTCCACTTCGATTTTAGTCGTACTTTTTAACTTTTCAGGATGCTTCCGTCTATTACGAAGTTAATCAATGTCTTATCATAGTTACCATTATAGAGAGCACAAGTCGCATGGTAACGACGGATCCGGCGCTGATGAACGGCGGCATGATGGTGCAGGCTGGCGCTATCGGGCCGACTACCGTCATGGGCCAGATTATGGGCGCACTCAACACCGGCCTCTCGGAAGACCTCAACATAGAGTCCTTGGAGCACGAATTCGACTGTAATGTCGATGAGGTAATGCCTTATTTTAAACATCTCTGTCACTTGTGTGAATACTTAAGAATATTATGAAGCGTAAACACATCCTTAGTGATGTAGGATGTCAGCAATCACAGCATATTTCAGGATAATTCTTTTATTATTAAAAAAACCCTTCAATTACGATACGCTTTAGGCTATATATTTTCATGCTATTTAAGTTAGGGAGTGAATTTTTTGGAAAAAAACTCATGTGGGAAAGGGACTGTAATTTTGTCCCTTGTAAACACAAAGTTTTTATAATTTCATGCGGACAAAACTGCATGGGTACAGCTCGTACTTAAGAAAATTTTCATCCATCATTTTTTCGCAGGTCATAAAACACGAACTAAGCATGGACGGCACGTTGGATTTCAACTTCCCGCAGCAGCACAGTGCGATGGCGGCGGAGGCGGAAAACCAGTTCCAGGCGCCCGCGCCGCCCGTGCCCACCACGCTGTCGGGCGGCGGCGCGCCCCGCACCCCCTACTCCGTCGCCCCCTCCTGGGTCCATTGAACACGCAACTAAAAGCGACACACCTATTCATAAATAAGTCGTTCGGATAATCTCGATTCGGGTTTAGGTTTTATCAATGTAAATAAGACGCGAACAGATCATGTTTAAGTTCCCTTTTTGTTACTTTAGCGTATTTAGTCGATTTTTTTCATTGTTACGTTAACTAATGTTAAAATTTTATTTAGTGTTATCGCTAAGTGATGTTACCGATCGTTGTTGATGTGTCAATTGTGTTAGGTTAGGATTTAGTGTTAAGCTAGGTGGAAGCTTGTGATATAGTTAGGGCTTGTTGCTTGGACCGAGGCGGGGGCGGGGGCGACGCAGAGCGGCTACAGCTGGGAAGTAAGGTAAAAATACGTTTTTTAAGTAATAATTGGCATGTAGTTTAAATATTGTTTTATTACCACTATCTAGAGGAATGTGAACACAGGTTGTAGATATCCTATGTGATTTAAAAATACATCAAATTCCAACTGGGCTATATCAAAAATATTACTTCAAATACAATTTTCAAACGCAACATTTTAGACGTTATCTCAACGGAAATGTACAAAAATAACTTGTAAACTTAAAAGCGGCGAACAAATTTTCCAGACGGGGAAATATTAGCGAACATTTAACAGTACAATAGCAATAAATCCGGCGGGTATCTGCGATAATCTGGTGCAAAGTTTGCGAATCGAGTGTCCAATAAGTTGGTCGGTTAGTATCGGTTGACTGTAGTGTTTCGTGCAAACATTTTCCAAGCCGCGATTTGACCTCATTGAAGATTGACATAAACTGCTAAAATTGAATGTAGATTGCAATTTTAACGTTAACCTTCAACTAAAAACTAATCATACTTCATACTAATATTATAAATGCGAAAGTTTAGATGGATGTTTGTTAGGGTTTGGAGCCTAAACGGCTGAACGGATTTCTATGAAATTTGGTACAGATGTAGAGGATAGACTGGAAGAACACATAGGCTAGTCAGTTATGTTTTTTTAATTCCACGCTGACGGTGTTGCGGGAAAAAGTTAGTTATAACATAAAATTTTAATATTCGTTTCTATTTTTTACACTTCAAATCGACATACAATCGCAGACTTTATACCGATAATATAAACAACGTACATACATATTCCCAGCTTATTCCTGTAAGAAAACTAATATCAAAGGATGAGCAACAAAAAAATCTCGTTGAAGCATACGCATTAAGTTTTACGAGGGCGCGTATTACAAGGAGTTGAGTCGTCACTCGTGTTTACGTTTCATTGTGCGCGGATTATGACACGTGACGTCGTCATTGTATCAAACAATGCTCGGAGAAAAAACGTAGCGAAATTGTCGCTGAAACACGACGAACGCGGAGTTATGAGCCGGTCAATGACGACGCAATCTACACAAGCCTGAATATATGAAAACGTGCCACATGATATGAGAAGCTCTTGGAAATGTACCCACATTTTTACCTCGATTTTAGTACCTACTTAATTATAAAGGTTGTAACACACTTAACTTATCTATATCTTCTATACATATAATAAAATTGGAGTGTCTGTTTGTAATATATAAAAAAAATCCAGATTTTAGGAAGATTTATTTGCGATGCTGATAACGAAAATTGCATTTTTTTCTGTCTGTTCGAAAGCCGCGTTTGTTCCGGGTAATCTCCGAAGCGGCTGGGCCGAACTCGACCGGACTTGGACACTGAAAGGTAGCTGCCATGCACGGGCCTATTGTAGACTACTCTTCTGTCTTAATATTGCGCGGAGGAAGTCGCTGGCAAGAAGCTAGTTTTAAATATATTTGATATGAAATTGTTCTCTAAGTTGCTACCGCTAGATATCAGTATTGGATTAATTAATTTTAAAAGTATCATCGTTATTATCGTATATCAAATATGGTCGTTTTAAAATGAAAAACGATACATTTCTAAGTCTAATTTCTTAAATAACTCAGTTTTTATTACATTCAGAATTAATTAAGTTTTGATTTCGATCCACTTCAGTCTGTCGTAACCTTTATATCTCAACTAAACATTTGTTTGCAAATTATATTGGCATATGAATAAAATATATGAAGCCGACAATGTATTATTCTAGAAGGTTTACGATGCATCCATTAACCATAACAGAGCCTCGCAGTCTTTGACACATGATGAATGTATTAATTTATTCATTGATTCTTTCGCGTGGTTTATATAAAACTAGCTGATGCCCGCGACTTCGTCCACGCAATATTAAGATAAAAAATTAGCCTATAATATGCCCGTCTGTGTCAGCTACCCTTCAGTGAAAGTTCGGTCGAAATCGGCCATCAAGGAAACAAGATTGCCAAGGTTTGTCATGTTATATCATTTTGACATTTGCTATTAATAATTTGACAAATGTAAACAATAAAAAAATTCATAATTTCATGCGGAAGAAGCCGCACGGGAACAGCTAGTTTTATTATATGTATAGATAGATGAATACTAGAAGTTCTTTGTTGCACATGTATGACATCTTAATGATTATTATTTTGACATTGAGATCAAACATTTAAATTCCTTGACTGTAGGGGTCACGCGCATACACGTGGTCGTCTAAGTACTTTGGCAAGTTTGACAGAAATCTACGTACCTAGCCAATTTGCATTCAATGCTTATTATGCGAAGTGAGGACCTAGTATGAAATTGCGATTAAGTATCCGAAATTTGTATGAAAATTGTGCAGTTTACAATAATACTGACAAATCTTATAAATTTTGTGGATGTGGGCATCATTCTTTTCTCGCAAAATTTTGTGGTAGGTTACCAGTATTGTAAACTTTAGTAAACGTTAAAGTCTGGTTAACCGCAATGTCAAAATAAAATCCATTTTTCATTTTATATTGGTTTCAACTTATTTTTGAAACATACAAGAACAGTTGTGAGGCTTTAAACTTTTAGAACTGTTTGTTAATTAATTATTCGATTAATTGTTTTCTTATCAATTCACTTTGTCAAAATTAAGAAAATATTTCTTATTTTAGGTTATCTTTATTATTTCAGGTCATTTTAAATTATGATTATTCAGGAACCTTTGATTATAAAGATAGAATTGCAAGTGCCCAAAGATATATGTCATATCGTCGACTAACTTTACATCTACGAGAAATGTATATACTCACATACACTAGTTATGCCTTTTTCTGGTTTGAGTAAAAATATATGTGTTGTGGAATCATGTATTAAAGGCTTTGTTAATACCGGTTAAAGCTCATCAGACGTTATTAAAATGTAATTATCTACACTTGTGACTTACAGCGGTGACCAGTCACAACATTTCCTAATACGTCCAATTAAAACGTACAACGAACGAATTCATTATCAGGGAATAATAAAATCGCTCCGCGTTGTATAGGCGACGTGCGTCATTCGGTCGGTTGTGAATAATAAATTTATAATTAGATTGGGATTGAACCTCGCCACTCGTGATTCTATTACACCGATGAATGCCCCTATTTGTGCGCTAATGAGGGAGACCGCAGCCGGTAATTAATCATATCGTTTTAGCAAACGTCCCGTCGCACCGTCTAGCGATCTTTAAATAATGGAATATCACGAAAAAATCCGCGGGATAACGCTAGATTAAACACCGGTCTGTTAATGACTTGTTTTTAAGGGTTAAAAGAATGAATACCGTCTTTAGCAGACGGTGTGACGACGGACTTTTTCTTAGTATTTCTTTTTTTATTAATTCTTGCACATCGCTCGGCCAGAAGTTAATGGGGGGAAAGATTCGCTTTTTAAAAATCGAAGCACGACCTCGACGTTCATTTAGCGAGCAATTACGATACGACTTAAAAAGTCGATTAAAAATGGCTATCGATAAAAGGCATCCGTGCAATTTTTTATTTTTTTTTCTTTTGACTCAAACCCTATCTTGCTAGTGCATTGTTGTGGTTTCGTATTCTGTCACGAGTACGTTTTTAACCAACGTCAATTCAATCCATGTATTTATGCGTCCACTAGTGATAGCATTATTGTATTTGATGTTTTCATATTTCGTGCATTTATTATAAAACCATTATCGCAGTTAATAATTTTACCTTTAATGAAACTTTGAAAAATGTAAGATCAAGAAGCATTTCGTCACATTAATAAGTTCACCCTCAAGTCTGCGCACAAATTGGCAAACTCATCGTGTATTCGGGTCGGCCGCCCTTGTAATTAGGTGCCGGGGCCACCTTTACACACGATTTCTTAGCACTTGTTAAAAGTTTTCAATTGCGTTACGGCGGACCCTCACGCGGAATTTATTCATTATATTCTACCCTCCCCTACCCCCGCAACTTAATAAAACGCTCCTTTGCTCTTTTTTTCTATTTTCATCCCCCTACTGTCCTCTGGAAAGTAAGTATTTTAAATATTTGCCGCATGGCCTCTCAAATGAATGATGAATTATACATAATTATTTTTGCGCCGTTATCAGATTTTCTTTTCGAGTTATGTTTTTTTTTTCGTATCTCATTTATTATCTTTGAGATCAAACGACCCTTTTGGAATAAACCGTTGGCGTATTGCGCGTATTTTTTATTTTATCGAGGACGTCTAAAAGTTGAAATATGATTGCAGATTTATTAATTTTTTTTACCTTCATATACTTCATGAATTTTTGCCACTTCTAGCTACACTTTATCAAGGGCAGGGAACGCATCTGTGGTTTATCTGGTATTGCTAATGTCCAATGGCATCGGTAACCACTTTTCTTTGTCGATCTCCTTGTTTGACCTTTATTCTTAAAAAAAAAAAAAACAATTTTTATGACGTACATGCCTTTGTCAAAGTTTATTAACAAAAAAAATTCTTCACTATTTTCTTCTAGGAATCTGATTGTTACGTACATTATAAGATTACTATTAAATCCTTTTTTTTTTATAAAAGATAGTGGTTGAGATTTTAAAAAGTAACATTTATGATTCAAGGCAGGCAGGTTGGATGGGAACGGCATACTCAACAACTTGCCCCATTATTGTTTGACAGGTCGCCGCCAAGCGATCGGCGACTTAAATTAATGCCAACATGGTTACGCCTGTCAATATTTCTTCGCCTTATCTAAAGATATTATGTAGATTACTGGCAGAACATTTTTAAACCTTGATAAAGCAAGCCACGTCTTTAAACGCGACATAAGGGATGTTTAACAAAACTTTTATAACGTTTTAAGATTTATTTAAATACTTGCTGCTAACATCTATCAGAAATAGAGGTACATTCTTCTATCATTTTGTTTATTGTATTTTTGATTTTAAGTTTCGATATAACTTTCTTCCTTTGGACAAATCTACAATATCTTCGAATCTTCGCTTACCGAAACTAATGATGGTTTAAAAAGCAACTAAGTACAAATCTGGAGAAACCTATTCTGGCATAAACAAAGCTTGCCGAAATCACATGTTGTAAAATAAATGACAATCACGTTTGTTAAATAATTCTATAGCAAAAATAAATATGCCATTTGTATTATCAGCCGCGTACATGGATCAAAGCTCTGTAAATCGACTGGTTTAATTTAGTCGTTGCGGCTTAAACATTCTTCGATGTCGGTCGAAGGCAAATTGGATTACGTGTTAAGCGGAGGAACCACGGCGGCGCGACGCTAACGGCTTTACGATGTTATTACACGCCCCTAAATGTACCGCGATTATGTCCTTACATTTTTAAAGGAAACTTTCTGTTATTTAATATAAAACTTTCTTTTACTTGTTTAAATTTTTCGCAGTTTCATTAAGTTTTTATTGCATTTTTTACAGGTATATTTATATTTTTTCCTACCTGTTTATCTAAAACGAAAGTAGCTCATACTAATGTTATAAATGCGAAAGTTTACATGGATGGATGAATGGATGTCTCTTACAGTTTATAGGCTAAACTGCTGAACGGATTTTGATGTAGAGGATAGTCTGGAGAACACATAGGCTACTCAATTTTGTTTTTTTTTTAATTCCACGCGGACGGAGTCGCGGGCGAAAGCTAGTATGTTATAATTAAAGGTTTAAATGTATTTCTTTTTTTTTAAAAAGGCAGATAATATTTGATTATAATCAAAATATACAAGTTTGAAGAAAATTATCTTCGCCAATAGGCGTATATTTGCCAGACCCTTAACCATTATGTCATTTTTGTATACCATACAACTGTATAAGTATATAAGATCATTATTTGATGTTAGTTATAGCCTAAAGTAATTACATAAATACTTTGTGTTTTCTTACAAAAAAGCAATCTTGCCCAGATAAAGGTTAAGAGTGACTGAAAATAGGTTTTTTCAGGAATAATATTGTATGTTAAAACATTATTTTATATATGCACATGACAAAACTAAGGTATAATTTTTCCTAACAAAAAAAACATTCGTAAATATGTCTCATAATGTGATAAGATAGCGTAAACAATTCTCAGGTAATTCAAATCTTGTCAGCTCTACCTGAATTGACGTCTATAATAATGTAACAATTATTTACTAACATAATATTTTTTCATCATACGATAAATATGTTCTTTCGCGCAACTTTATTTCTTTGTAATAAAGTTTTCCCCCTAAACATGCCAAAAAGATTTTGTTTGCCACCTGAAAATATGTTTAAGGGAAGAAATGTATATTTCCCTGATTTATTTGAATGTTCCATCCCCACGCATTAACTTCACATCACATTCTATAAGAAAGAAATAGTAAAGGACGCGTTATGGAGAAGGGAACTTTAGACTCATTTTATTCCATTCGCTTCTAACGATTCTTAAATATGTTTTTATTGACTACTGTAGAATTGCAACACTATTTTCCATACAATGCAATCAGAGGCTACCGAGCTAGATTGATGTATTTCAGAAACCAACCCTTATAATCACTTTAATGTCAAAAGAAATACTATCTTCTTTATTGTTAACAGATTAGTTGAAAAGCATAATAAAAAACAAAAATGCAATGTCTAGCGGTGTGCAGGAGGGCGTTGGGCGTGCCACCGACCCGCCCGCCCCGTGCAACAGGTGCCTGCCCGCCCTTACACTTACAACGTAACTCTCGTCTCACCTCTTTACATAACACGTGCCTCACTAACCTCATAATGTACACATTGATTCACTTGTTATATAATTTATATTAATTTTATAATTTAGTAGATTAGTAAATTTAAAAAAAAAACAAAGGTGAGTAACCTGTGTTCTTCCAAACTATCCTCTACGTCTATACTACAAACTCTAACAAATATCCAAACATCCATCCGTACATCTAAACTTTCGCATTTATGATATTAGTAAGATTACACAAATTTAGTTTTTAGCACCAAGGCGTTTTTATCTATACTGCTATACTATTATAATAAAGCGTAAACACACGCTTCTTTGTTGCCTGATGTCAGCAATCACAGCAAATTTTTGAATAATTCTTTTCTTATTAAAAAGTCCTACACTTTCGTCACTCTTTAGGCTATATATTTTCACGCCATTAAACTTAGGGCGTAAATATTTTGGATAAAAACCCGAATGTGGGAAAGAGACCATAAGTTGGTGCGAACATCAAGGAAGCAAGATTGCTAAGTTTTGTCATGTCATGCCATTTTGACTTTTGCAATTAACAATTTGACACATGTAAACAATAAAATAATTTTATGCTGATGAAATCGCACGGGAACAGCTAGTTAATTATAAATGAAAACCAATAAAGGCTATTTTATTTATCATTTAAATGTATACAGATTTATGCAACTGACTGTACACAGAATCGTAATCTTAAAGCCATACGAGCAAGAGCGTTCTAAATATCGTCGCCAAAAGAGGTCGTCGTACCACCGAGTATGAATAAATTTACACCCCGCCGGAATCACTCGATAACCGACGCCTATGCTTTATAGCCCGTGACATCCGAAACTCGATTTATTGTCACACCGCCTTCTGAAGCGAGGAAATACAAGAAAACTTGGTGACAACTTGCGGTACGGGATACTCCAACGTATATATTTTCACTTACGCAACTTTCCTTTTAAAGTTACGTTGCATTAAAGTATAAAATAGTTGAGAGTTAAAGTGAATCGATTTTTGAATCTGTTATGTAAAATTAATATAATTAAAAAGTTAGAAATGTTAAACTTTTCTAATGTCTGTAAGAAACGTAAATGCTTCATTAAAAAATCTATCAAATTACAACCTATCGGAAAGTAAGAAAAAATCCAAACCTCTAAAGGTCCAGTAGATTAATTGATCTGTAAATCGTTTAGATATAAAACAAAGTAAGTTTTGTAACTATCTTTTATAGTCTAAGTTCTACTCACAAGAAAGTCTTATAAATGTGGTTCTTATTTAAGCATGTTTTATGTGGAACTTATTTCGGGAAAGGATGCCAATTATCTACGTCACATATTAAGAACAGCGCACTTTATTCGGAGCAATGAGTCGCAGAGAAAGTCCGTTACATTGCTGAATATGCGACAGATTTATCGTGGTTAGGTAGTGATGTACCAGTGAATGAAATGTTTTATCGATATCTATAAATTTAGTTCTTTAATTTTAAAATAATGTATTCCTCCTTGTAACTAATTAATTACGACATGAGATTTAATAAATGCATGTAAATTTTTTGTATGCGATCATTATGTTTTGGAATAAAAAAACTTGATCGTTTTATAACATTCTAAAATTCATGAAACTGCTACGAAGACGTAAAAAAAAGGAAAAAACGCGACGTATAAAAGTGATGAGATTTTCAACCACAAGTTTTATAGTTATGTGTATTTAACACGGCGAAAAATTTTGAAACACGTACAACAGACATTTATAGAACATTTACATATTCCGTATTTATTTAAACATTTTATGGTTACTTAATCTAAATAATCGAGCTTCCCTATACCCTTAATTGGTAGTTTCATCCAATCTAATAAAAGAAATTGTGTTAAATCGATACAGTGAAGTGGCAACACTGGCCGGGGTCGTCACCTGCGGGCGGGTGCGCGGGGCGGGGCGCGCGGGGGGTGCAGGGCGCGGGGCCGCAGACTTGGCGTCGCTCTGTCGGGCAGGTTACGATTTACACTCCACCGACTCAGCAGAAAGTCCGCCCCGACGAGAAACGCTGATAATCCACATCCATAGTCGCCGCGCGAGAATTAGATCGAGATTACTTCGATACGTACGACGTTATTGCCTTATTTAATTACAATTTAAATTCATCTCTCAACTAATGAAGTTTAAATGGGCGAATCGTAAATTTAATTAAGTGTTGCCATAAAAATCGTTATATCTTTGCCGAGTGGCAGTGGTGATGCGGACGTTTGCATAATGAATTATGTTCCGATTTACGTACATGTTTTATTTATTGAACTTGATGATTAACATTCCGAGTGCCAAGCTATGATGTAATGTCATTTTATAGTTTAAGAGTTACAAGTTTGCTCTCATCTACCTTATTTCATGGCTAAAGATTCAATAATGACCATATTATAGTCCGACAACGATATACGACTCGGTAGATAAGTCAAACTAAACGACAGCACACTAGCGCCCTCCTGTTTCATTCTGTGCCGTCTATATCCATATCCTAATTTTAGTGTCTTTTCCACTCTTTTCTTAATATGAAAGTGTGGGAAGAAAAAGTGCATTTGACAGCGGAGGGAGGCACAGGAAGGGGAAATATCCTGTTTATGTGCGTCTCCTACTCTGTCAATTAAGGGTAGACAACGTATCTGCAATTGTAGCAGTCTGTGGGCAGCGGTCGCTTTACCATTTCGGCGAATTCCGGTGACCGCTTGCTCGTTTGCTACCTTATGTTATAAAAAATGTAGATTTTCCATATTTTCTGACTTTTTTTTTCTTTATTTCTAAAATATCGTTGTTAGGAATTCTATAGGTAGTAGTACTAATAAATTTGCTCTTTTTGTTTCAGGTTGCCAATACGTAATTCGGGGAACAGCGGGAAGCTAACTCCGCTACTATACGGTTGTGAATAACTCCAGTTACCCTGTCGTTGTGTAACTCAAATATGGACATAAATCAGTAAAAGTGAATAAATATGATGAACTTGAATAACTTCAAGTGAACGATACTGTATCTTGGATAATGAATTAAATGTTTTAGCATAAAAATTTGACCTCGCGTACTTTATTTTCTCGGTTTTAGAAACTAAGATCTTACCCCGGTGTGTGTTGAGAGAATGGGTTCTACAAGAATGACTCTTAAAGTTAAATGTAGTAGAGTTGAAATTTCAATGGTGTAATTTTGGATTTGGGTTTTTGTGATCCGTCTTCCAGCACACGCTGGGTTTTAGCACTTATTTGTGTTTGGTATTTTAAATCGGACTGATTTGCATCATTCATTGCTAACAGCAATTATTTTTACTTCAATATCCAAATCAAAAAAAGTTTTCATTAAAAAATTGATTTTGTCACTAAACTTTACCGTAAACTTTTATAATCTGTGTGATTGTAATGACAGATAAAAAATTACTTGCAATTTTGAAAAACTAAATAACGAAATTGTTAATTTAATTAAATAAATATTATACCACATTTTTATTTAACTAATTGAACATTATGCAATATCATTCTAATAAAGCGTGTTATAGTTTACAATAAAACAATTCTATAATAAATTAATTAAATACGAAGCAATCAGACTGAGTAAAAATCTAAATGTTCACATACGCTAACACTATTGCATTCAAAATGTCATACGTGTGCCTAATAGGTTAAATATAAAACTGTAAATATCAAAGTTCTATTTACACTGGCGGATTATAAAAAACAAAGCGTTCTTAAGTCGACGCACAAATTCCATTTTAGTCAGATCTCTAGTCCAAAATGTTAATTTTGATTAAGCTACTCCTCACTTGAGCTCAGATTATAACGAAAAAAAAAATACGTTCTGTGAATTACCTCAGTGGACTGTATGTGATAGATTTAGCCAATAAGTGTTCAATTTAGTACGTTTTACCAATTAAGTCAATTCTTGTAATATTTGGCGTCCATAAGATGTAGAAATATCCTTTGTACATCGGTAATCGGCCATGTTATTTTTTAATCGCATTGTTGACAGATGGGCTCGTTCCAGAACTTTCGGGAGTATTGAATTAACTAGTGACCATCTTATGTTTATTGTTGGTTACATATGTACAGAATAAAATTGCATGATTTTGCATTCCTTCATTCGGTACGTATGCGTGGGAGTCCACTATCTTAAAACGGGTACAAGAATCTACTGTTTATCTCATTTTATCGAAGAGATTTGTAAGTATATTTTTGTATGAAAAATTTGACAGTGGATATCCAAAGTAAAACAGATTTTATGTCGATAGAAAAAGTGTTGAATTTCAAATTTAAAGATGAAATTGTAACGTCTTTAGTATGAATTATCACCATTTGATGATAGAAGTAAGTGATTTCTGGTACGATATTTAGGGCCTGTCCCACTAAATTGTAAACTGTCTGCTAACAATCCAACGTGTGAAATATGTGATGGAAATATCGGATTTTGTTCCCTTATCTGACAGTGACGTCATTTTTAGCCAGTAGTGGGACAGTCCCTTAATGAGATAAAAATGATGGAATGGATTAAATGTGTAAATGTTATGTGCCTGTCTATGACATCAAATCATTGTAATTATTCATTGCTTATTGTTTTTTTTAATTATGTTTCTTTTATTTAGCGTTATCGCAGCTGATGTTGGTGCTATAGATATGTTAATAGCTCACATTGTAAAAAAATTGAACGTTCTACTTTTTACTTGAGAACTCTTCTGTAACATTTTGAATACGTATTGACGTCTCTGTCATTATTTAGATAAAAAAAGAGACAACATTACGTATTAAGTGGGACAGCAGTCGAATTCTACAGTTAAACATGTTACGACAAAATTGAAAATTGTCCAAATGTATGTATGTTTTTAGATCGATCATAGTTATTTTGTAATAAAAATTATGTAGATAGATAATAATTAGTATGTATAGATGTAGACTTAAAGTCAAGTTAATTTGTATTTGGATGTCGGACATCGATGTTGTATGGCCTGTTCACACTTAAGGGTAAGCTACGCACTTTTAAATGTAAAAGAATCGTTTTTTGACAATTTTAAAGTGTACAGCTAGTGTGTGTTTGCCCTAATAGTTTTAGTGACTTTTGCCAAATATTTTACATGAATCATGCGAAATGAGTTTAAAATTATTGTTTTTTTATTTTATTTTCGATATACATTTTTATTATAAAATATGAAATCAATTCCAAATTTGAATTATTTTATTATTGTATTGTATAATTTCAATTAGTAATGTTTAAAAATTGTCAACAAATAGAGACATATATAAATCGAAAAGTTGCATTTTTTAAGGAATGTAACTGTTTTTATGTATGTACGTCGGTTTTTGTGGTTTCTTTGTCTTTTGTATCTCAGGTCTGTAAACTGAATAGTTAATATCTCCTGGTTGTTGAAACATAAGTAGTTAGTAGTTGTAATTTAATAGGATGCAAGTGTGGTCAATTAGGCACGGATATATTTGATTCGTTAGGCCTATAGTAATAGTGGGACGTTTAGCTCGAAGTACGCTTCAAAATATTTGCTTTGGTAAAGACAGTTATATTTCTATAGAGAAATTGATAATTAAACAGAAATAATTGCATAACGTCCTAATTCGTTATGAACTTTTTACTTCATTTTGAAACTTTATTATGTAAATCTAATTTTAAATATCGAAATATAAACGTTTGATGAGCACAAAACGTTCTATCGAGGGAACAAAAATGGTGCGCAAAGACCTCGTTTAGGTCTGAGCGGTATACAATTGTTGCAATTTTAATCCCACGCGGTGCAATACGCCGCGTACTAAAGCCATTTAATAGAGCAAATTTAGTTAAGTCGTAGAATAAAATGTTCTTATAAGATGTCAGAGATTTCATGTTGAATGTCCATAGATAAATCAGATAGGGTTAATTCTGCTTACAAGGAAACTAAACCTCTGCGCAGTGTGATACTTTAATTGAATTTGATGGGCATTTTTTTTTAACTGTTGACGCTTGGGATTGTGTTTAGTTCATATATGTTATTTTGTGTAAGCCAACAAATAGCTCCTAGAGGATGTAGTTAAATTATTTTGTAATTCGTTCGGTTTTTTTATGTTTCAACCATCTCGTTGAATATTGTTGAACTTGTAAGTCGCTTATCATTAGTTAAATTCTTCGACAAATCGTGAAATTACTGTAAGCTAGGGCAAATATGTGTTTAATGTAAATATATAGATGAAAACTTGTATGTAGAAGTACATAAATATTATTTATGTATTAAATTTGATATTGTTTTCAAAATTTTAATTCTGGCTGTTTTATTTTACCACTACTCTTTACCTAAAAATAATGTAAAATTGAATATTTTTCAATGCTGCTTCATTCAAAAAGTTGTTAAATTAAGAATTAAATTAATATACAAAAGAATTATTAAATTTACAAGCATTTTAAGTGACATTTGAACTGCCTCTAGCTATTTGGCGTACAGAATCGCCTCATTTTTAACCAACAAAACCAATATTATTTTATAGTAAAACTTTAAGAATAATCTAACGCAACTGTGCTATAAAGAATTTTATGAGTCTATTATATAAAGTTTTTTATCGTCAAGAGAACTGTTTCTTATTGGTTTGCTTTTTTGTGACATTATGAACATCATTGACGAATACTAACGATTCACAGTAGGTACTTTCACGGTAGCAACAATAAAACATAGGACACAGTTTGCAATTGTTGAAAAAGTTGTAAAAACTACATCATCATCACCAGCTAACTATACGTCCCCACCGAGGGGCTCGGAGGCTACCTTAATAAGGGGTGACTAACTACATACTAATATGTTATTATTGTATTATATATGATTAAAACAAACAATCTCAATCTCCAATAATTAAATTATCAAACGGTTTAATTCCATTGGCCTTGAAAAACCTAAAAGTTTCGTTCCATGTTGCATAGCCGAGTTTTTAAAAAAAAGCCGAATAAACACTTTAAACAAAATTTTAAGTTACTGCCATCTAATGTTAAAAATGTGAACTAGATCAAAACGTGTTCACTATGTGACAAATAAAGTTTCTTAGGACTACCGCTTGGTGGCGCTGATACTAATTGGCGCTAACATTTTCAAAGAAATGGCCACTTATAATGAATGAAAATAACATATTTTAAAAATACATTTTGGGTATCCAAGCAACTACGTCAATTTCTGATTAATTTGATATGCGTGTTGAGAGTTAAGAAGATGCGGTCGAAAATTTTATCACTTCAAAAGCAATTTACCAGCGTTTTCAGAAGAAAGTACTGTAATGGTGTAGGTAAATATAATGTAGATTTTTTTCATTATCATATTTCTCCTTATTGATAGTTTATAAATTTAACAAACAATTAAATTCGTTTATTTTACAGAAATGCGCCGTGACGCCCACATGAATGAGTTGCCTGTGCCCTGTTTGCCATGGCAGCCTTGGTATACGGCGAGGCAGAATTGGTATAACAGGTTTTTAGCGATGTCTATAGCATGGTAAGTATTAGCTTGTAACTTTTTTCCATGTAATCTAATTATGTTTTCCAAGATACTTTCTGTTATGCGCCTAACCTAAGGGGATGTTTATAAGTATGATTACCAATGTGAAAAATAAATAAAAAACAAAAGTAATAGCCTATAACTTAATCCAGACTATTCTCTATATCTATCTTGTTTGACCGTTTAGGCTACAAACATCCATCCATTAAAATTTTTGTATTTATAATATTAGTATGAAGTATAATTAGTATGAATTATAGACTCGACTGCTCAGGTATGGTGATTATCTAGATTTTTAATTTCCAAATTTGACAGATTAACGCTTGTATTGGGCCTATATGTACGTGCAAATATTTAAAGCTTATTTTTCGTCACTTTTCAGGTGGTTATTTTCGTTTGGTATGGCGTTATACACGGACAGCATCTACCTGAACTGGGGTCCACCGGGACAGCCGGGCCCGCCCAGCGATATGGTGGACGAGTGTGTCGAGGCCGACTAACTATTACAATAAAGTATTAGTCTCTAATAATGTTTCTTATTGATCAACCCCGTATTTCAGACGTTTTTCGTGGATGTGGATCGTAACATTTTACTGGATGTGCATTGCGCCAGTAGCTGGCATGCTAGCTACGATCTCATTTAAAATTTAAAAGCGATTTTAAATTACGAACTGGCCTTCCCTTAATGTAAAAAAAAAACATTTTGTGGTCATACTTTTTATTTGTGGAAATGAAATGTACAAACTTAGTACATCAGTGAACAATTTTATCACATCACCTGTTTTAAATTATTAGGGGTCAGTCCCACAACTGGCTGATAGAGTCTCAGATAGCTTAAACACTGCCTGATAAAGTAAAAAAATCCAATATTTCCATCGGTTATTTTACACGTTGGCTTCTTATCTGACTTACAAGAATTTGGTAGGACTCTTAGTAATCTGACATCTATTGGTCAATAATACTACCTTATATACTAAATAGCATTTCCAATTAATCTGAGATAGAGCTTTTATCACTAGGCTCGTAATAACTAAAAAAAATCAGTAAACACCAAAGCAGAAAGAGAATAATTTTCAAATCTATACCAAATTTTATACCAAAATTGCATTTTTAAGAATAGATTACACTTTACAGTAATCCTTAACAAATACTTTTGAATTATCCTATTTTAGTATTGAAAAATACTTTACACAGAAAAACCAATTGATTATTACCTAAATTAGCCTAAAAATTTTCTTTAATTTTAATTTTAAATATCATTAAAAATGATACAATTTCCAATACAACTGTAAAATTATATAGTTAATTATAAATAAATAAATAAATAAAAATTCTATTTATTTATTTATTTATTTATTTAGTGTGAGAACAAAAGATATATCTAAATATTAACTTGTGTAGATTTGAAAATTCACATAAACCTAAACCTTTACTCTAGTTTAATGAAAATATGCAGTACATTAATTAACTAATTATAGACATAATTACAATTAACATATCTATTTCCAAACGTTTAACCAAATACTGATATAAAATGTGGACAGCTACGCCAAAGACATTTAAGAAATATATAGGCAGTGTATATTTTTTCAGCGGTACTTTCTCTGACAGGTAACATCTGTTGTCAAATTTAGTGCGATCTCGTGTGTATTGCCATATATTAAAATAAGCTCTACCTTTTGTAAAATAAACAGTAAATATATTATTTCATTTAGATGAACGTGGTTTTTAGGATCTTTTAATAGATAGTGCTAGAGATTTTATGAATAATGTTTGTTTAGATCAAAAATTCAAAAGATATAGAGACATAATTGACACTTTATTTGAAACATTTTCCCAAAATCTCAGTAACACATGTCAATATAATTAATTTTATTTAAATTAATTGCAAATACCTGTTATTATATAATACTAGCTTTTACCCGCGACTCTGTTAGCGTGGAATTAAAAAAAAACGAAAGTAGCCTATGTGTTCTTCCAGACAGCTATACCAAATTTCATTGAAATCCGTCAGACGGTTAGATTACAAGCTCTAACAAACATCCATCTAAACTTTTACATTTATAATACTTGTAAGATTTAAATGTACACATTTTAATCTGTTGTTTAGTATAAAGATGTAGCTTATAGATATTGTAATATGTCGTATTACATGTCAAAACAAGAACACGAGGTGACACTAAATTTGACAACTGACATAGTACCATTCAGTGAAAGTACAGATGAAAAAATTTTGTTCACTGCCGTCTATACTTTGTAAATGTTTTTACATCTAAATGACAAGGCCACTCTTAAACTTCAAATAGCAATATTTTGACGTATAGATTTTGTTAGTTTATGACTAAAAAAGTAATTTTTTTAGAAACATTAATGTAAAAGAGCGAGGTATATATTTTTAATTAGTTACATTAGAAACAAAGATGTTTAACTATTTAACCTTTTCAATTAACAAAGTTCTGTTTAGATGTGTTATAGACAAAGAGATTCAGATATATAGAGTAGGCATAGTTTATACTTAAAACATTGTTATTCCCACATGTTAATATACTAATAGACAATATGCATATGACGCCAAATTGGACCAAACTTTTTTTAAGTATTCTTTATTACTATAAAACACTTGTAAAGATTTTTTTTTAATATGCGAATTAGTGGCGAAATTTAATGATTAAAAAGTATGTTTTTTTAATTCCCTCGTAAGTTCTAAAACGTAACGCTTAGAATATTTTCGAGTCTTTTTTTTGGTTATTTTATAACAAGTAGAATCGTTTGAAAAACGAAAAAAAAGGCACATGCACATTCTCCATTGTATTTAAATTAATTGCCAATTGGTGTAATTTTCGTAACTCTGTTTATTTTGTAATACAGACACAAGATGGCAGTAATCTTGATAACTGATATAGTACCTATCAGAGAAAGTACCGGTGAAAAAAAATTGTTTACCATGCCTCGTCTATACTTTATATAGATGTATTTGGTTATAGATTTGACAAATTAGACTTTATGAAGTTTTAACATACTTAACTGGTGTTCAATCAACCTTAAGCTAGTATATTTGTAAGTTATCTGCTCTCCGGCTTTGGTTTCGGAGGCTTGAAGCCTTGAATCTTCTTTTTCTTCTTCTCCTTGCCACCTGATTGGAAAGTCTTCCAACTGTCCACACGATTTTGTCGAGATTCCTGAAAATAAATGACAAATTTCAATTTATTTAGATGTTCAATTAAAAAGCGGGTTGCAATATAATTAGTGCTATATTCTAAATATCTCTAAACATCGCATCGAGCATTTTAAACTATTAGAAATGTTTAAAATCTATACTAACATGATAAAACGCAAGAACACACTTCTTTGTTTCGAGGATGAAGGCAATAAAAGCATATTTTTGAAACTTTTTTTTTAATAAAAATTCTTACACTTACGACACGCTATAGGCTACATTTCACACTATCAAACTTAAGGGGTGAGTAAATTGAAAAAATTGAGAACTGAGCAAATTAGTAAGGTTGCTATGGTTACTCCAATACTGAGCAATGAATAAGCCTACATTATTATTTGAATTTTGATATTCGCAATTGACATTCTACAGAATGTAAACAATTAATTATAACATCTAGTACAATAAAAACTATGGGTATTTGCTAAAGTAAGCAAACAAAATCTTTATTAATATTAGAAAGAGGAAAGAAATTTTTACATGTTTTGAAAAATTTAAAAACTACTGGGCCGAATTCAAAAATGTTTACCATTAAAAAGCTAAATTATCACTGAGTGACTTAGGCCATGTTATTTGCTAATTTTTAATATCACGAAGACGAAGTCGCGAGTAAAAGCTAGTATAAGTATTTTTACTAACCTCAAAATTCTTGGCCCATTCCTTTTCAAATGACATCTGTTCCTCTTGTTCTATCTCAGCTTCCCGCTTGCGTTTCCTCTCCTCCATGTCCCTTGTCTCCAAGTGCTGCCGCTTGCGCTCCATGTCCGCAAACAACTGACATATAACACATTATTTCAGGGTAAAAAAAGCAAATAAAGCACCTCACACACTAACCCCACATCTACTGATGTTTAAGTTTGAGGATTTCATATTAAAGTGTATAGAAAGAAGTCAAAATGATTATTTATAAAATCGTACTTGTTCAAGACAATTTCAATTTATAAGATTCAGGTCCAAAAATAAAACAACAATAGCTTTAATATTCGAAGTAATAAAATTATGAGACCATACATTATTTGAGTTTTGAAGATTTTAACTTGTTATATAAAGAAAATGTTATTTAAATATATTCTTAAATTTAATAATACAAATCATGGAGATAAAGAGGGTTGAAATTGAAAAATAGTTTTATGAATTAATTCAAAATACTAAGATTCTTACAATCCCCAGATACCCACATAAATAACTTAAAAATGTCAGTTTATGATTAAAGGAGAATTCTTTGCGATAAAAAAATATATATTATTAGCGGATTGTTGGCCGACGCACATAATACAAATAGATCACAAACCTTCATTGTCATCACATAAACTGCATGTTTGTATTTCAATGGATCATCTTCGGGAATACCTTCAGCTAATCTGCCATCCTTTTTGAATTTCTTCCGCTTTTGTTCAATCTAAAAGTCATTATTAATTAACATTGAGAATTCATAACATACATAATAATCTAGTTTTCAAATAACAGATTGAGACCATTTACACCTCTCACATTTGAAATTAAGTCAAACTATACAATTAAAATGCATAGTTCTTAAAAATAATAATAAGCCTTTATTCAGATAATTACTGTCACATTACATAAATTGAATTGAATATTGATACATTTTATTTATTAATTAAATTATTGTCACTTCTTTCGTTTTGTTTGATTTGTTATTTATTATCTGTGTGTTCTAGTTGGACATAGGCCTCTTCCAAATTCTTCCCTTCTTTTAGCCTTTCTAGACCATACTATAACATAGTTCTTAGTGTTGCTTAAATAAAGTGTAGACTCAAGACTATTCAGTTATGTTGTCAAATGTTTCATTTCACATTTTAAAGATAAAATTAAATGTTGCTATTCAAAAGTTTTAAGATTACCATACCATATGATCAGTTCTTTCTTTAGCCTCCTGATATACATCTAAGCATTTCTTCCTTGTATCTTCATTTTCCAATATCTTCCAGGATCTGTTAACAATTTCAAAAGCTTGTTGGGCCCTTTCCGAATCATCCTGCAAATAAAAAAAAAAGATTGATAGATTTTAATTTAGTTATTGCTAATATCTAAATCCTAATATTATACCCATGTGAATAATTTCTAGAATATGTTATCAAAATGGTAGATTTTAATTGTTAAACAAAGTTTTTAAAGTGCCAAATAAATTGGTAGAATTTATTAAATCATTCTGCACTACTTCAAAATCATATGAAAAGTATAAGTTTTTTTATTGTATAATTTTATAGAACAGTACAAATCATAGAAATTATTTAGTAAGTACGAGGTTTTGTGCCCGTAATGTCCAATAACCACTGGTAGTTTTTTGCTGCATTATCATCTCCATTCATCCATGCATTTTTTCCATACCTTACCTATGGCAGTGGAGACAGGGCCTCTGTGGTATGCTTACGTTCCATCTGTGGATAAAAATGAAATATTGACGGGGATAACCGTCTCAACTACATGTCTAGGAAATCTAAGAAATGTCTTGTTAAAGTGTGTACTGGAAAAATGGTAGAATATACAATATATGTGACTTATAAGACAATAAAATATAAATGCAATCTTTAATGCATTTTAAATGTAAGATGTGCATATAAGAGAAAGTCCGTATAATGATTTGTACTTAAAATGATATTTCATCGACAAGGTTCGCAATTTTACCCGAACATGTCAAATGTACAAATGACTCTCAGAAAAATGTATAGAGTAAGTATGAAGTTATGAACATTGACTTACAATATTCTTGTCGGGATGAACAAGAATGGAGAGACGTCTATACTTCTTTTTGATTTCCTCGATTGTAGCCTCACATTCAACTTGGAGAACTTCGAATGGGTTAAGATTGAAGTAAGTAGAACCAGGACGCAGTAGTCTTTCAATTTGTTGCTTTGGTGTTAAAACAGAATCTCTCTTCTCTATTTCTTTAACCTAAAATGATAACATAGACAACATTTCGAAAACTAATGCAAGCAGCAAAAAATTTATAAAGTTCCTATTATAATCTCGACAAAGAAGTTAGAAGCAATTAAAAGTATATAAATAACACATTAATTATTTAAAATTTCAGAAGAAACTAGGTTATTTCACCTCCGTGTAGAAATCGTCAAACGATTCGGCCTTTGCTGTAGATGGTATCGAAGACATTTTAGCAACCTTATATGACTCCTAAATGGAATTATTGTGGTGACATTTAAAACGCAAATTTCTTTATTTTATGACGATTAAATTCGTTAAACAAAAAAACGATGCCATGTAAACTTTCAACTTGACTTTTGACAATAAAGCAACAACCATAGACAAATCATGTTATTTTTTTTTGTCGCACAGAGTAAAATAACTTCAAAATGCTATTTTGAACTGTCAATCTTTTGCGTTTTTAAAAATTCAGGAATTTCAAGAAAAAAATATAGTAGGTAATTGTGTTAACAATGTATAATATGTTTTTGTTTTGATTAATTTATGAGTATAGTCAAAGAATATTCTGTATTATGTCTGTGTCTCTAACCTAAATCTTATGTCAACTTATTAAGTCAAATCTGAAATCAACTTTCTCGACGTTGCCGGTTGTTTGCCTTAAAATAAAGTATTTCTAAGGTCTGTTTTTATTTTAGTACTTTTATTATAAGTTTTCTTTATCTTGCCTTTTTACATGATTTATTTATATTTCTACTTACTTGAGTAATTTCTAGCACCTATCGTCTACTGGTGACTTTGAGGTTCCACTGCCGAAATACCTAAACAAAAACACATACATACTGTCATCTCTTTTTCTTTAAAAACGAATAAGTGAGATGACAGTATGTTTTTCAACAAAGAATGGAGTCTTGATGCGAAAATTATTATGCAACGATATAGACTGTAAATATTGCAATGGAATATTCAGAATATTTTTTGTACATAGTGATAAAGTGCTATCTTTTAAACAAGTAATATGAATATTCGAAACACTTTAACCAACCAAGGTCAGACAGCTCGGAACGCGAGTCAATATATGTTGCTTTAAACTTAGCTGGAAATTAGAATTGTGGATACAGTATTGTGTGTACAGAAAGTAGTGTTTTAAAGTTTAAAGCTCAAGATAAATCACGTGGGATATTTGTATTAATCTTAATTAAATTCGCAGATAAAATGTTTACCGACAAAGTCGTTATAATAACTGGAGCCAGTTCTGGAATTGGTGCAGAAACTGCTGTTGAATTCGCAAAACTTAACGCCAAGCTAGTTCTTACTGGAAGAAACAAAGAAAATCTAGGGAAAGTCGCTAAACAATGTGAAGAGGGCTCTAAAAGTAATCAAACACCTTTGGTGATTATTGCTGATATGAACGTGGATGCCGACGTAGACAATATTATAAAAAGTACAATAGATAAATTTGGCAGACTAGATGTTCTGGTAAATAATGCTGGGATTCTAGAAAGCGGATCGATAGAAACAACTAGTTTGGCGCAGTACGATAGAGTGATGAACACAAATGTTAGGGGGCCATATTATTTGACTATGTTAGCGGTTCCACATCTGATTAAAACTAAAGGATCAGTGGTGAATGTATCAAGCGTTACTGGTCTCAGGTCATTCCCAAATGTTTTAGCGTATTGTATGTCGAAATCTGCTCTCGATCAGTTTACAAGATGCATCTCACTGGAGTTAGGTCTGAAAGGTGTGAGAGTTAACGCTGTAAATCCAGGTGTAATATCAACTGGTATACATATGAAATCCAGCATGAACGAAGAGCAATACAAAGAGTTCTTGAAGAAATGTGCTGACACCCATGCTTTGGGCCGAGCTGGTGAGAGCAAAGAAGTTGCTTCTGTTATAATATTCTTAGCCAGCGATGCAGCCAGTAATATTACAGGTGCTACAATACCAGTAGACGGTGGTCGTCATGCGATGTGTCCTCGTTAAAAAAATAAACAATATTGTCATTGGTTTCAAAAATAAAATTATTCAGATGTTATTAACGAGTTTTAATTAAAATATATTGGATTTCAGATATAATTTACAAGTAAATAATCGATATATTAAGTAAAATAATATCAATTATTAGTTAAATGATGCTTCAGAAACACATTTAATTATCTGTATAGTTGTATTGGTGATGGCAGCGGAAGCCTCTATAAGACCATTGCTTGTACAAGATACAATTGTGTTTAAGATGTCGTCTACTATTGCTCTGGTTTCATCTCTCTGTAAAAAAATATCAATTGAATTATTAGGTACTTTATTGTACTAAGTAACTAGCATTCTACTTACGTAATTTAGTATGGCCTTTTCTTCGTTCTCTAAATCATTGTACACATTTTTCCTCACATCGTTAAAACATTCATCGATATTTTCATGATTGAGACAAGCTTGTAATGCCTTATCTACGTTACTAATAAATTCATTCTTCTCAATTAATAAATGTGTGGTTGTGTCTTCTGGCAGCGGCAGATGGTAGACACTTTGTGATATGCAAGTCGTTACATTAATTAGTATACCTTTTAAGATTTCTTCTATTGCTTCCTGTTGTTTCTGCAAGTGTAAGTATAAAATTAAGTAAAACATTTATTAATCATCACGCATCGAGTAATGTAGTCTTTTACTATTTTTGTTTATAACTAGATGTTGCCCGCGACTTCGTCTACACTATAAAAAAGTATATATATTATAGCCTATAATATGCCTGCCTTGTCAGCTACCCTTCAGTGGAAGTTCGGCCAAAATTTGCCGCATCGTTTCAGAGATTGCTCGGAACAATCGCGGCTTGCGGAGATACAGACAGACAGAGAGACAAAAAATAAATAAATGCGATTTTCGTTATTAGCAACGTAAATACATCATCTTCCAGAAACCTGGAATTTTTCTTTTAATGTTACAGACACTCGAATTTTATTACATGTATAGTTTTTGTGATATATGATTGATGTTAAGAAAAAAAAAACAAAATACCTTGATGCATTCTTTTACAAGTGCGCCTGACACTTTAACATTCGCAATTAAATTATTTATTTCCTCCTTCATTTTTTGTATACGACTTATAAACACATTGTTGATTTCATTTGCCTTCGTTTTAATATTTCGAATCCATACATTTATTCTTTCAGCTGTATGATTAGCGATGTTCTTCACGGACTCCCATGCATTGATTGCACTTTGTTTAACGCTCTTCCATAAATCTGCTAGACTTCTTTGTTCAGAGCTTCGTTGTATAGTTAATAATGCATCTACATTATAATCAGTAGATGGAATACTATACACGCACTGTAAAATTTAATATAAAAACATGAACACTTACTTGGATTTTCGAATAATTGCTAAATAGTGTCACCAAAATTAGAAATATATAATCTAAAAACAATATATGACCTACCTTAGAACATAAACTAAGAAGGACTAAAAATAATAAAGAATTCATAATTAAAGAAATAAACAATTCGATAGAATTAACACTAAAAGACAATAATATTAACCAACGCAAACCTTTTATATGCTCCGATAATTCTCAATAAGAGCCACTACAAATTACATGATCCTTTGTTGATTCAGATTTAGAATCTTTGTAACTACTGAAGTGTTGTACAATCGGTCAATGTAGAAAACTTGTGATCAGCTGCTTTGGTTGGATGACTAGACAATGGGTTTATTTTGTGTTAGCTTGTAACGTACACTGTTTTAACTACAAAAAGTTTTATGGTACTCAACCTTTCCTTAGAATGTCTCTTTATAACTTAGCGAAAACTTTCAAAGAGTTTTCACCTTAAATCATTACATTATGATGAGTTTTCCAACGCAATAAGACTACCTTCAGTAGAATAAGATAAGAATTCATGGATATATGTAGAAAAAAAAGAATTAAAAATGTATTATTTAATGTAAAATGAATAAACATATCTTTATCGCAACGAAGCACAATCAATAAGGTATAAAAAAATGGTATAAAGTGACATTTCTTGAGTTTAACTAAACGATGAAATAAAGGATTTCGCCGAGCATCTTCCAATGTCGATTACAATTTTTGCAGTGCTGATCGTTGCTCTGATCATATTATAACCTGCACACATTTCGAAGGCAGCCGGTAACGTACCTAGAGCCGCATTGATACGTGCTATCTGTAATTACGAGTATATAATAATTAATGACTATTCCTTAACATTCTCAAGATTAAATGAAAATTACAGAAAGTTCTTACCGAGATTCCACTATTCGCAGCGAATGTAGCTCCCGAGTACTGAACCTCATTTGTTAGAGGATTTAAGCATTGACTGACATTTAAAATGGATCCATCGTCGTTTTTGGAGCAATTTCTCATGCTTTCCAATACATCTTTGGAATAGTCGAGCGCAGTGTTTGACTCTGTGGTAAGTTCATCTATCATATCGTTGACTTCTTTTATACGGTCATCAGCACAGGCTCTGGACCTGAGATACGTTTGTTCGATGAGAGTGTCTGCTTCTTCACGATGAGACTGAAAAGAAAACCATACTAATATTATACATGCGAAAGTTTAGATGCATGGATGTTTGTTAGAGTTTGCCCTAAACGGTTAAACAAATCTGGATGAAATTGTCGCACATGTAGAACATAGTCCAAAAAATGTAGGCAACTTGCTTTTGTTTTTTAAAATACTCGGGACCGGATTTGCGGGCAAAAGCTAGCTTTCATATTAGTATCAAATCATAAATAACGTTATTCCTCGAATTTAGCAAAAGAAAATCTAATAAAATATCAAGGAAGTAAATAGTTCTTTCGAGATTCATCCATCTCTTATAGAATACTTTGAGTATTATTTACTCTTATACGTGTTACACTGCGGTCGTACTTATTTTATTACTACTTCTAGTAATTGACTTGCTCGTGGTTAATTTGTACTTTTAACTTACCTCTACACAGGTTGTTATTGCCTCTCCAGCGTCAAATAACTTATCGGTTACTTTCCTTACAGCTTCTTTAATTCGTCTAAGTAACCTTTGTTTGTCTGCATGAATCTTCTCTATGTACAAATTAATTTCTTCTTTGACACCATCTGTGAAGCTTCTTACTGCTTCTATAGCTTGCATTGCAGAATCACGTAGCTTTCTTACAAATTCTTGTATTAACTGCCTAGAATTAAGAATAAATGAATTATCCTCAAGTCAAGGTGTGATCCAGCTTTGGCGCTAGGGGGTGGGGGTCACATAGTCGTGGTCAAGTAAAGAGCTTGACAAAATATGTAAATGTATTTTGTCAAGCTCTTGACCAACCAGCTCGGGGGGAGGGGGTCTTGAGTCCATGACCCCCCCCCCCTGGATCCGCCATTGCCTCAAGTATAGTCAAGTCATTCCCTTTATCAAATGCAAGGTCGAATTATTTGAAATATCAAAACGTTTGAATTTAGAATTTTCACCTTTATAAATATTCGACAGAAATGATCTTGCTAACATACGGTTTTTGTTAGATTTTATGGCAAAAGATGACCAATAACACAATAATATAGAGATATTGCTTTTTTCCAATTAATAACAATTGACTAACATTTTGTGGAAGGCATTGGGAAAGACCTATGTCCAAAAGTGGGCAGATAAAAGCTAATGATGATGATGATGATGATGATGATGATGATGATGATGATGATGATGATGATGATGATGATGATGATGATGATGATGATTAACTTTAAAATACCTGGTATGAGATGCCCTCTCATCTATTTCACGTTTTTGTCGTAAAATTAATGATTTATCATCTCCAGAGACAGTACTCAACGACAAGCACACCTGTAACAGTTATTATACAAGCAAAAAAGAATACTTTAACAAACAGCAATAGTCGATATATTGTTTCTTTACCGAACAATGCAATTATATCACTTACCATGAGAGAAATACAAAAAACAACAACAGACTTCATTTTTCTAACTGTAATGTGTTTGAACTTAGATGTGTGATTTTACTTATATTCAGTTTTAGTTTTATGACAGATTCTAGACGCATATTGTCAGCGTTATAAACAGATGCCCGTTGAGCAAATAAATTCCTCAGATAAGATATTACAGCATGAAAACATTAACGTAAACATCTCACATATCCAAGATATGAAGTACAATCGCTGAAATCCGCGGTGTTGCACTTCAGGAAAAATTACCTTGTTCATTGTATCGAGACAAACTTTGCCTCAAATTAGATAGAAGTGAATGCAATCGAAGATTAATAAGAAACTAGCTTTGTAGCACTAACAGACTTCTCTTAGTACACTTTTATATGCTGCGTAGTATTGACTTTTGTCACGTATCGTTTTAGAATGTTCAAATGGTTGTAGCTTTTAAGGTACCGATATTTTTCCCGACTGTACATAAATCTTTATTCGTAAATAAAAATGCTTAGAAACAAATGACCTCAAATTAAAGCGCGTAAAATTGCGACTGTTATGTTATCTAACTAGGTTACTACTAGAAAATAATAAAAAAATGTATATGAGAAGATAAGTTTTTAAACTAACATTTTAGAGATAGATTTTAGAGATACTAATCGCACGACTAGTCTTCAGTGAACTAATCTATTTTGAGTGCTATTTTCCATAATAAATTTTAATATTCAGAATACTAAAAATAATTTTCAATCAGTACACAAAGGTTAGGTTAATGAATCAACCGATTTTATAAACGTGAAGCAATCTCAAAACAAATTCATAATTGCTTTAAACAGCTCAAGGTTCCTTAATTATGAATATCGTGTCTCCCATAAAAGTAATTCACTGTTTGAAATGTAAATATTGCGACAGACAATTCGCTCTGTTTGTTTTATTTTCTAACTTCGTCGTTAGACTGACCGTGAGTTCCCACTGCCGAAACATTGTAATGAAACATGCTTAAGTGTTTTTCTAGAGTTATCTTTTAACGATTACATTTATTTCACTTTAAGCAATTAAAACATTTATCTATATTTGGTAATTTATATTGCATATAGTTCCTGTACATTATAGAAATGTTATATAACCTTGCAAATTATACCACGATGGCAACTAAACTATAACATTTATTAATACATTTATTCGTATGTAATATATTAATAAATTCTGTGACACGGTCAAGTAAATTATAACGTCAAAGAATAATCGATTGAACATAGACAAACTAATACATCGATTCATATGAAACGATAGTTATACCGTAATATGTTGTATGTTGGTCAAGAGCAAATAATTAGTAACGGTAACTTGATACTAAAAGATAAAAAAAAATTATGAGTTAGGATCAGTCAAAGTTAATTTTGAGTAACATTCACGTACGAGATAAAAGACACGCCTACAAGTAATAAATAGCAGAAATAATACAAAAGGATTAAAATAGTGTGTTAAATCCAACAGGCGTTTTGATATGGATGTTCTTTGAAAATTCTAATATCAGTTGGATTATGCAATTTAAATTTGCTTGCTGATTGATGGGCGGACAATACTAGTGATCAGAGATTTATGTTACGTTCACGGATGTGACTCGCCAATTACGTGGACAGTAAAGTTCTTTGTACATTGGTTTATGCATTATTGTTATTTGTCTAAAAATTATTAAACATTTGTTTAATTATTCTTAATTCGAAGAACTATTTTTTTTCTGCGAATTAGCTGTAATCAAGAAAAGGAGAATTTATGTACAGATGTAAGAACGATTAGGTACAGGATCAAAAAACGCGAACTTCTTGTATTATGCTATTGCCGCATATAATTTTTATGCGGTGATGTTTATTACCGTGTATTTTTCTATTATTTTGACAAGTATGCAACCTCTGTTACGGATGTATCACAAATGCGAGGCGTTAGATTTCCTCGCTGCGTAACGTATAAGTACGGGGGCCACATAACCTAACAACGTAACATAACGTAATGTAACGTAATATCAAATCACAAGTGACGGAAGCATAGTTAAATTCATTATCTATGCGAAAGAGCGTTATGCCCTGCGCAATCCAACCATAGATTAGTAAATCTATAGGAGATATAACAACCACAACTCTACACTATAAAAAGTTAGTTCTTTCTCACTTTCGTCTCCTTGAAACTTATGACGTATGTTAAAAGTTATGTACCACCCAAAGGTATGTTATTAGTAAATCTTCACCAGGTTCATAATTCTAAGGAGCTTAGCCTGTAAATACCTCGAACAGCTTATTAACTTCTGTCTACAATTCACCGACGAAACTCATAAACATTCTAAGGTGCTTGATGGTAAAGTTTCACCATGACTTGACTAGGAATCGACGTTCCCCTCATTTGAATACGTCTAGTTTAAATTCCAATACACGCCTTAAAACGTTATACGATGTAGATATTTGAGATAATAATTTGATACAGGTCAAAGGACGACTAAACAAACACAGGATTTTCAATGTTAGTAGAGATGAACTAAAGAATATTGTGAAGTCAAAAATAATGTTGGTAAATATTGTTAAAATATTTATGTTGTATCAATATCGAACAGTTATATGTTAAAAGAATGTGCTAGACTGGCTTTAGAAAGGCGGGTTGCTCGCCTAGACACGGCTCGTAAATCTACACAAGACACCTGCGCAGGAGTTTATTGAGAACAAAAAAAACTGGAACGCTAACGGCGCCAGAAATTATCGAATAATTGACAGCGACTTTATATGTGAATGGTATCACAGATAGATTTAAAATAAGCGAAACGGAATAAGAAATGAGTTGTTAACAGTTGGTTCGTTAAAGTTATTTAATACTAGATTTCGCCCACGATTCCGTCCGTGCGTAATTAAAAAAGACAAATGCAAGTAACCTATGTTTTCTTCCAAACTGTACATCTAGGCAAAATTTTATCGAAATCAGCCGTTTAGGCTACAAACTAACAAACATCCATCCATCCATCCATCCATCCATCTAAACTTTCGCTTTTATAACATTAGTATGAAGTGTTTAATATTTAATTAAAGCCGTCCGACTTAGTTCCTGTTTCTTCCCATTTTACAACAACATAATAGGATAATGAGAGCTATGTAGATTTCAATGTTGAAGAATCGGGCAGGTGAGAAGTATCTAGCGGTTAGTTTTCGATGTTGACAGGCAGTGTTTTGTTACATGTAAGAAAATCAGATGATAGCAACGTGTTCGAACGTAATTTAAGTAACAAAATTTAACTAGATACAAATATAGGTCATTACCACGAGCTTAGTGTTCTACGAGACTATATTAAGGCAGCGAACCGTAGATCTGGTACAAAACTGACGGAATAGACTATTAGATTGCATAACACGTAACACTTACCACACTGTGCTCAAGGTGCTTCGAAGGAGAACACAAAGGTCAATGTTCGCAGCTTCCTCTGACGCTCCGGCTCATTTCGTTAAGTATGTCTTTATTTAGACTGACAGTAGGGTCACCATTATACAATCTCCACCTCTAGTCTGTAACTAAGAGAACTTTAAATATGAATGTAGGTACAGGTTCAGGTCTAAGAAGAGATAGATGGATAACGTATAGACTTAACGTATCGATATGCAATGAAGATGGGAATTATGAATGACAGGTTAATTTGGGAGAAGAAACTCTTATACTCTCGTCATAGAGAGTGATAAGGACACATATAAGTAGATGATGCTACTGTTAGAGATATTCAATACATTATTAATCTATAAATACAAGTAGCAAAGAAGTTGCAGATATTTGCAAAATAAGAAACTTTTAATCACAATAACTCGTGTTCAATTGTAAGGTCAATAAAGTAATCAGATAAATCATATGGTAATCAAATGGAATATTACTGATTTAATCAAATAGAATATAAACGATATCACTAGATGATTTATCATTGTCGTCCTCTAAATGTTTGTGTGCAATGTCGTACTATGCTTTCCGGGTTCATCAAACAGATAAAGAAATCATTTACCGCTTTTCATTGGGTTTCTTCTACATACAAATGTGATAGATGAATATAAATACTGTTTACTTTTTTTATTGAAGTGTTGTCTTGCACAGTACTTAACTTAAACTCAGTGTTGCTATATTTAGAAATATTTAAAAATTCCGCCAATTTTATATCTAATGTTCTGAAAAAAAATTACAAGTATAAGCAGGGGTTTGATCTTAATATAAGTCATTGTAGTTATAAATAAATATGATCATATTAATTTGATATGCTATCTTTCCAACATAGTAACTTTTCACCAATTTAAATTGATCTTCATATTAACTGAATACACAGTAAACTATTTTAAATTGCTTTGACACTTGAATGCCTAATTTAATTGGTCGGCTGATAGCATCTGATCAAACATCGTTACAAGCAAATACATTTTATTATTATCAATAAATAC